CTATTATTGTTGCTAAATGCTAATATACTGATAACTGACGAGGCTTTATCATTGGTACTCGTAATAATTTCGATTATTATTACACAATATATATGGGTATTATAATTAAATTCCCGAAATAGTGTACCTAGTATAATAGACGAGTGGGGCAGGGGAGGTATATAAATGGTATCATCGCATATACATACAACGTTCATAAAACATTCCTTAAAAATGTAAAATAATAATGACGGTAAATCGGGTTTTCGCTGAACGGCCAGAGGAAACCGCGTGCGTCCGTTCACGATCGTCGCGCGTCTCATCCGGTCCCCGTCGACCGGTTTGACCGTCGTCGCGGTCGTCGTCGTCGTCGCCGCCGTCGCCGGACTCGACGAAGGTCGTACTATTACACGACCGCGTATAATTGGTTTATTATTAATTTGTTGTTTTTTTTTCATCGTTCGTCGCGCCATGTGCGTATAATGTCTTCTGGACACCGTCCACGTATAAGGTATAATAATATATTAATAACATTATATGATATTGTACGTAGGTAAAATATAGTTTTATCACTTCGGTATAATATAATATTATTTTACCCGCAACCAGTAACACGGCATCAATGCAGCAGCAGCAGCAGCTGCTTTGGCGGGGTCTGACTGTATATTATGTGGGTGAAGAGGGGTCCGGAATATAATAAATATCCCGACCGTTTGTGATGGTTATTTTATACGTTTTTTCCTAAAATTATATGTTGTGAATTAGTAGCAAGCCAACCGGCGCAACCACGCGGTCGTAAAATTGGTGTAAATATATTATGGAAGTATAATCATAATATGTTTAAAAAGTTGTTATGCATTATATTATTTAAGACCCCACAAATTATATTTTATACTTATACAATTATAGAAGTGTTGTACTATAGACAAAACCTTATTTTTTCTCAAAAACTACAAATTTAAATATTTCATGAAAAATTATATTACTAGTCGTTGAATTTTTGAATTAAAGCTTACTAATATTATATAATATAATATAAACTACGAATGTAGGACATTTGAGGTCCACTGATAGGGTAGGATTAAATAATAGTCCTATAGTCAATAATTGACACATCATAGTGTTTAGTATTCTTACATACTGCAGGACAATAATGAATAAATTGTCATCATCGAAGTATAAAATATACAATTTGTTGAATTATATTATTATAAAAGTTGTAATATTAATAGGTAATATGAATAGGCAAACAACGAAAATAAAATAATTAAAAATATTATAATGCAATATTTAAAAAATTAAAGATACAGCTTATAGCATATAAGTCTTATCACAACAAAAACAACTATTTCAGAATTCATATTAAATTGCATAGTCTAACATATATTTTTGAGTCTTTCTTCATTTTTTTAACTCAACAATTTATTGATATGCTTCTATTTAATTTCTAATATTACTTTGATTAATCTCACATATCCTATAGTCATAAGTTATTACTAACATTAAAATTATTAAATGAACAATAATTATACTAAAAGCTGTAATCGTCAATAGTCACGCTCAGTGTCAATTGTCCGTGGTCTAAAAATAACGGATGTGGGATGCCCGATATCAATAAAACTATGTTTGGTGTCAAAAGTCCGAATACCTCCCATTACCTATTCAACACTCGATCGCATAATGGTGTGAACATAATTTGATAATAGTATATGTACAATATACCTATTACACTATCATAATAATATATAGGTATAATAATATATTACCGAATATTATTATAATGTTGTTATTGACATTGCAGTTTAATAATATGTTATACCACATATACCTACGGCTGGCACGAAATTCCGGTATAGTGTAAGATCTATTTTAAACGAGCATTCTAATATATAGGGACCACCGCGACGTATCATTTATACAACAATATCATATTGTTATGTTAATATTATAATAATGTGTGATGAAAAAAAATTACAGTATTATGTATATGAACACTATTACAATAATTTGTTAACGCGCCTTAGTCACATTATAATGGTTATATACACCCATCACTATTATAATACCTGTACTTATATGCAACAACTGTAAAATAACACTAAATTCCAATTCGTATTATCATTATTACACTGGTACTCCTTTGCCGTCGTATATGATATTATAAAATAGGTATAAAAGGTACGACTGCAAGAACGCGTTGACGGAGAGCGAGAATACAACATAATATTATTATTATGTAATGTCGGTTCGTACACCGTTTAGGTATACAATTTATACATTATATAGATACTGCAGCTATATAGGTATATAATAATCACTGTGTAATAATAAAATACCTACCACGCAGCAGCGTTCGGTCGTTTAGCGCGCACAATAAAATCTCAAATTAAACACACGACATGATAATATTATTATAATATGTTATATAGTCCACACGCGCTATATTCAGGTATACAGCATTACAACTAAAATAATATTATATTCGTCTACTGCACACCGTTTACACACACAATTTATTGATCGTCAGGTGTTGGGAGTACATACGTAAACCGCAAACGAGTGTAAATAATATTATAAAATATAATAATAGACAAGCAAGGCCCGATTAAGAACCTATTGGGCCCCGGGGCTGAAATTTCATACATGAGCCTTTTAGACAAAACATGCTTTACAAAGACGCTCGCAGGAACGTAGATTTTTCTAACTATTTCACAAATAATTGACAATTGCATTATACAATTATAAAACTAATAGCTAAATGTAATTTATGTCTATAAAGCTACTAATTGAATTGTAGTATAATAAAAGTTAGATAATACTTCATATTTCATCAATTTAAATTCGAATTTTCATAATAACTTTTAAATATATTAAAATTATAGTATAGGTACTCATTTACAACAAATATCAAACAAAAGTTAATATATATAACAAAAACCATTTTATCAAATATTTTTTTTTTTTTTGCTTTACTTGAAGCCAACTCTCTTAGTACACTTCATTTAATTATTATTCATTTGTATGTCTAAGTTTTTTGGGTTTGACTGGTTATATACTTATTTTTTACTCTAGTTAATTTAGAAAAAGCTCTCTCCGTACAAAAATAACATTATTAACTATTGATGATATTATTGATATCAATGAAAATATTAAATAATAGCTTTCGTAGGTATTTACTATTTAGTTGTTTTTGTCGATAAAAATAATGATTTTTAAAATATAGAAAAACTTTTCTTTAAAATCACTAAAAAATGTGTGTCAGCTTAAAATTGTTTGGGTCCCTTTCATCTTGTTACTTGCTTCCGCCCCCGCTAGACCCCCCCCCCCTTAATCCAGTCTTGTAGACATGACGCGTTTTACCGATCTGAACGGCTCGGTGTTTTTTTCATTAGACAGGCTGCAGTTATTATTAGGATTCTGTAACCATAACCGAGGGAAGGTACGGTAAACGATATTCGAGGTAACTACCTGGTATAACTTATACCGTGTTCACTGACCACCGTTCATTCAAAGCTTTTGAACCTCGATTCAAGCACAAGCACACTGCACGCGCAGCAATATATGGACGAAAAAATCCGTTCCTCATCGTGGTCAAAGGCGGCCGCAACTACTTTAATTGTTCGAATCGTATATTATAATGTACTGTCTGCGATGTGTATCACATATGCACATTCACAATTATTATTCACCTTGTGTGGTCTTCCCTTCGAAACCACAGCACAACATTATATTTAAATTACACGAGCAGTATAGGCCCGCGGAGGAGGCACCTACGCCGCGTATAATATATTATATCATACTATATCGTACAATGCGTTTACGATTTAACCGCATACTCAAGCCCAACACCCTTGGGGAAAACGTTAAATATTTTAAAGCCAGTTTTCACGGTTTGATTTTTTTCATTATATATAGCAGTAATATTGTTATAATAATATATTGTTACTTATTAGTTTCATTATCGCGGTACCTCCTGATACAAAATAATATAATATATTAAATTAAAAGTAGTCTGACGGACGAGAATTTTTTTTTTTTTTTACCAATTTACGTTTGGTTACTGGTATAATTTTTTATAACTCAAAGTATTATTTGATGAAAATTCGACACAATGATATCATTAATTTATTATAGCTTCAGAATTAAAAGTAGGTTTAGTTGCACGGAAATCATATTATAATAATATAATGTCAACGATTACAGTCGAATATAATCATTATTGATATTTAGTATACACTAAGGAATATGATCAGAAATGAGTATTTCAAACATATTTTAAAATATCGTTTTTTTCATTAGAAACTTTTACTAATTTTCTGATATGATTTTCTGAATGTAGTTTAAAATTAAATTACATTTGTTATATACCTAATAATATATTAATTGAAATATTGGAAATTATTACAAATTTAGGAATTTATAAGAAAGACTACAAGGCGTATAGTAAGTGAACCTGTACTTAAGTTAAAAACGGAGTGCTGTATCACTAATCTAATGAATTATTGAAACAGTCCATATCGAACATTTAGAAATATAATATTTATTTTATATACCATTGATTATAAATTATAATACCTACGTTCCAAAAATTAGTTACTCTCTGTATGGCTGTATAATGTCCATAAACATTATATTAGATATTATAAAATAATTTATTGTACAGTTAGCAGTATTATTTTCACGAAAAAAACTATAATTATTATAAAATATGTGAGTATAAGGTCCAAACAATTAATAATTATCATTAATCATTGTACAAATGAATTAATATACACTATAATTAGGTATAATAGGTAACCTAACCTTATTTGATTTTTAAATTTTTTATTATACGTTTCTATTCACACACTGAACATACATTAAGCATTTAAAAGGCAATTAGAGTATAATATTGTTATTATTTTTTCTTATTAAATAATAATATAAAAATATAATATAATAATAGCAATTATGTCATATCATTGAATAGGTACTAGCTGCCGTGTAGAGCTATAGGTATATGAAATAATAATACCTATACATTATTTAGGCATTGGTGTGGACGACGTGGTCCAAAATCCAAGTGCGTACATCGTGTAATGTTGTATTGTTTTTTTCACCCAAAAATCAACAAGATTATTGATAATACCGTAGCAAAGACGCACGTGGTACGTCACAATGTTTGTAATCTGTAATGTGTATGGTATATCCGGAGTAGCAGACATTGGAGAAATAACACCCAAGATCAAAATTATAAACCTGTTGTCTGTTCTGGCCTGCATTTTGATGGATAATGAAACGGCGAACCGATAATTATTATTAAACTATACGCTCACTAGCCGTACTTCGGAGCAGCGAGATTTTGCCTCATATCATTATTACTACCTAACGAGTAACGATACACGAGTATGTTATAAAATGAAACTGAAAATCACTGAAACCGTATAATATTGTCGATGTTCGCACGGCGCTATAATGTGCGATAGTGAGACGTGAACTGTGAAGTGTACAGTAGGTTTATCAATAATTATGTGTTATTAATTATTAAATTATAATATACAGTGTGCATTTGAAAGATTAAATAACATTGATTATTTGAATTTTCAAATTCTCTAAAATAATAATAGCCAGTGTAGTGCATGGCACTGACACTATTTAGCCTGCCCAACGACCCACAGTCCAATTATTGTCCAAATCTGGCAAACCTTATCATAATACCAACGATACAAATCCGAAATGTTTGAAATTACTCATAGAATGTAAGATTGTAACTTGTAAGATTGCGCGTATTTGCAAGCTAGCTATCGATTAAACTCCAACGAAAATCCTATACTTTTCATTTAAAACTTTGTATACAACTTGTGTAATTCAGTTTTCCTTAAAAATATTATAGTATTTCGTGTTTACAGTAAAAATTAAAAAAAAAAAAAAATACAATTTTATAAAACTGGGTGTAGTCGTATCGCCATAAATTATCAGTTGTGAGAGCGAGATGACTTGAATAACTGATTATACGGTAATCACGGAAGATTCATTTCATCGGACAACTTATCACGGGTCGTTGGCTGACTTCAGTGTCTCAAGTCGTGATGTATATTACAATGAATACGTAGTAATAACGTATAATATTACCAACGCAGTTACACGGATAAATCGTTTATAGAACGAAACTGCCGAGACCACCCTGTACACGACGATCGTGGTATAATAATAAAAACAATAATAACATACGATAATTTGATAATAATAATATAAGTCGTAGAATATTATAATATGTTATAACGGCATGCGAGGTATATTATTCTATAATCGTATAATATCTGAAAATATAATACGTGTGCAATATTACGCGTCCACTTCGAGCGTTATTATTTGCGGTCGTCGCCGCCGCCGCGTATGGCGAAAAAAATGATGTAATTTATAATAATAATAATAATATGTTATCCGCGATAATAATATGAAAATACGTGTACACCAATGTCTCCGATACATACCAACTATTATTATCTACCTGTATAATATTATTATCGTTATAATGTGACGTCCGCCGTCGTCGGACGACGACGACGAGAGAACATAAACCGCGAGAGCGTTTACGATATAATATTATATTCGCGTGGGACGCGCATTATAGATGAGGTACCTGATAGATCGTACACTGTTCACGGACGTATTATTGTTGTTGTTATTATATCATCGCCGATATTATTATTTCGAGAGGTATTCTGTGGCCGTCGCCGTTCCGCCATGGGATTCTGTGCGGTGGACCGGTCCGCGCTCGCGTGGGGAAGGTGGGCTTGGCCTCGGTGGCCGGACAACCGGTCCCCGGCACACCGGTGGGCGGACTTACGGTCGGCCAGTATGCGTTATTGGATTTACAGCGACGGCACGGGCGGCCGCGTTCTCCTCTCGCGCCGCTCGCGTGTGCATTTTGTTCGCGCGTCTGTATGGTATAATAATATTCTTTTTCGTTCTTTATTTCCTCTGATATTATTCGTTTTCTTTGCCCACAATAATAATAATAATAATAATATTACGTTTTCTTGTGTGTGCACGATGACATCATGCGCACACGCGTCTCGCCTGAGCGTTATATAATATGGTCACTGCGTGCGACGCGCGCTCGTCCATAAGATAACAATATAAACTTACGGGTATAATAGGCATGGTATTAGAAAATATGTTATGTGTAGGAGCGCGAGATGTATATTATAGGTACCTATCAAAAAAAAAATTTCATATAATCGCATTTGCGTCTCATACTATATACGCATGGAAGGCTCCTCGCGCCCTCCAACCGTAAGTAGGCGTAGGTATATTATACGCTATTATTGGAATTTTTCCAGTTATCGATCACAGTCCAGCAATTCCATTCCCCACATTCGAATTTATATATAGGTACACCTATATGTCGTACTGTTTGTTTGTCATGGACAACAATTGAACGTATTACCTATATTAATATATAGGAAGCTCAATGGGCTTCGAATATAGGGTTTTGCCGATTCTATCATTTAACGAGGCAAGTTGAGCATAAAAATTTATCGAACTTCTTGCCGAGTGAAAATAATTTACTTTAACTCATTTGCTTGCTATAGTTTATGCTCAACTTGCCTCGTTAAATGATAGATCTGGCTAAAAGCCCTATATTCGAAGCCCAATTCGAGCTTCCTATATATTAAGGGGCCTGCACGCGACCTGTTTTTTTTGCTCAAAAACATGCCTTACAGGAAAACTTCTCAAGCCTCGTAGATTGGTCCGATTTCCGTAATTTTTTTTTTGTTAGATAGAGAAGACTTCTACAGGGCGCAATTGGACTTGGATTTTCAACATTATTTTTCTAAATCTTATGTTACAAGTTTGAATTTAATCAATTTTTACAACTTTTTAGTTTTTGTAGTATTTTTTGTTTTGAGTGACGTAATCAAAAATCGAAGTCCAATGCGCCCTGTAAAAAATATTCCTCTATCTAACAAAAAAAAAATTACGGAAATCGGACCAATCAACGAGGTGTGAGAGTTTTTCCTGTAAACTGTGTTTTGACCGATATAATACACCCTATCAACCCCCCCTAATAGGTATTGGGTAATAGATGAGTGGAAAAGTCTTATAATTGAGGTGGCAACTAAAATATAAAATTAATTTTCAAATTTTATAGAATTGCGGAAATTTGAAAATCGCGAGCAGGCCCCTTGAAAAATCGCGAGCAGGCCCCTTAATAATAGGTAATACGTTCAATTGTTGTCCATGACAAACAAACAGTACGACATATAGGTGTACCTATATATAAATTCGTGGAGTGCGGAAGTGAACACGACGGTCGTGTAGTATAATTATTAATAATATATAAGTAGGCAAATTGTATATTTATTATATATAGTTGTACTATTATTATACTGTATATAATATATTATATGGGTATTTTATAATTTAAGTATGGTGCATGCTACATGCATAGGCGCAAATAGCGTTTGGGATTCGGGGGAACTAAAGCCTTATAAGTATACTTTAATAATATTGAATAAGTTTAAAACAAAATTCAGAAAATGTTTGGGGGCTATGGACATTTGGGGGGAGGGGGCCTAGCCCCTAATACCCCCTCTTCCTTTTTAAGCCTATGCTACTTTGTGTATCTTATAATATTTGAGATGGATGTGACTCGTTATGAGTAGGAGAAACTTATCCAATTTACCTGCAATATTTCATGAATCGACGTTACTGAGTCATAATGATAAGGAGGCGAAATAATCGTCGTTATATACTTATTTATATTAAATATTATAAAAAAAGCTCTGGATTTGAATTTTATACATGTGCAACGTGTACATTAGTTTATATACATTATACAATATAGTATATATATAGGAGGGCCGTTACGTATGCATATTATAATAAATCGACGTGTAACTTCCAATCATATTTCCATTAAAACAAAAGCTTTCAAAACACCGCTCCCTATAGGTACATTGTTATATATCGTGTATATTTACATTTGCACTCGGCCATATAACTATCCAGATACTACCTATACAATACTATATTATAATATATCTACACGCACTCCATTGATTTTTGATACCTATGCGTTAATATACGTAGTCGAAAGTCATTTAAAAAACCAATTTGAATTGCTAAACTTGTGCCGTGAAAATTTTTACATAAATTTTTTAATTTTCATATTTTATTCTCATCGTTATGCCTATATACAATGAGTAATGACAGCTGTTTTTTATAAGAATGTCACCATCATCTCGATCTATAGCCTATTGGTATAGGTACATACTTCAAGACGATATATTATGAGAGTCTATATGCAATAAACACATAGGTACTTAGGAATATATTATATATTTTATACGTACACGCGTAAATTATAACGCGTATATTATGGAGTAAATATTAACGCCCAATGAAAAAACGGTATGGATAGATATAAGAATAAGTATATATAACTATAGATAGTGTCACAATATCGCACGTTTTATAATATAACATAGACAAGGTTTCATTTTAAACATTTTTCGAGAACATTTTTTGTTTGATAAACTTAATTCCACAAAGCTATAAACTTGAAGTCTGATACTCTGATCCATATAGCAAACCCTGCTAAAGCTATAAAATCATATTTAATTACTGAGGTAACACACTCAAAATACAATTTATAGAGGTATTAATAGAGGTGATCTGAAAAGTTTAAATTTAATAATTTATAAATAGCTACTATAGGTAATTAAATCTAGTAATGACTTCCTATGGAAAATTTCCAAAAAAACTAATAACCCTCGAGCAAACGTGATTCAATACTCCTGCTCGATGGCTACATCCTCCATGACACCCTCAAACTCCGATAGAGCAAATATTTGTATTATTCATCTTGAAAAAATGATTACTCCGCATCAGGAGCCGTTTGGGAATGTACCTTTTTGTAAAACGGGAGCCAAATAGACTGCATCCAAAAAAAAAGAAAGTAACAATTTTTAAATTTTTGGAAGAAAACTTTTCTGCTTGGAGCTTATATGGCCTTATAAGAGGATGATGACATCCTCGCCCGTATGCACTATATCTCCATCTTACAAACGCAAAACATGGTAAATACTAAATTGTACGTATTCAATAATTAATTTAATTATTTTATACTCAATTTTCGATTAAATTGAACTATTACCAAATTTAGAAGTAAGAATATTGTCTAGCCAATGGCATAGACATTTTTTTTTGATTTTAATTTTAAAATAGTAAATTGTTTCTATACTTACTCGTAAATTCAAGCTAGCAAACAACC